TTAACATACCAAAGGCTTTAAGAAAACTTTTTCCATCAATACAAATAAATACTGTAAAATATTTTATTTTCGCTTGGAAGTAATTTTCGCTATTTTCGCTGAATATTCTTTTTTACCTATATTCTACATTGAACTCGTCAAAAATCAGTGAAATTAAAATCCATACTAAACACCCAAAAAGTTTTTTCAGTGAAAATTGATTCCAGCTAAAATAAAGTATTTCACAGTATTGAACAGTTGCATGTAAAATTCACCTGTATATTTTAGATATAGTCCTGAAAGACTCCTTTATGCATGCATGTTGATGCAGGATTACTTGTGTAGTATTTCTCATTACTTTACAAGTCCAGTTGACATGCTATAATAATATATCATCTCGAACCATTGTCAAGCTTTGTGTGCAGTGAGCTTAACACACTGATACGGATGATACAACTAAAGAAATTTACTCAGTTTGAAATGATACAATTTATCGTGAAAAAATTATGGAATTATGAGGCAGGACTTCTAAGCGTTTTGGAGAATGCATGTTTGCACTGACTGCCGCTGATGATTTTCGTAATCTGCAGAAGAGCACAGAGAGGTTGTGTTGTCATGCCACACGATCAATTGGTGATTTTTTGTTCACAAGGAATGATTCAGTGAAAATAAAATCCAGCATTCAACGCGCCAAAAATCAGTAAAAATAAATTCCATACAACACGCCTAAAAAGTCTTTTCAGTGAAAATAAAGTATTTTACAGTATCAATGATATTTCACGTTAAACATCACTACTGTGAATGATGTGCATCTATACAATGTGATAAATAACATAACTACAATTGTATTAAATTCAGTTATGGAGAAGTTTGATGGATGCCGTTGAGTGGAATAAGAAAGAAGATTTAGTGGCAGAACAAGCACTGCGACATCTCAATGTAAGTCGTCTGTATCAGATTACTTGAATATTTCTTGAGATGACGACAAATTTACTAATATCCTCTTAGTACTTCTCTGGTGTTTGTAATATGATAGTCTCCATGCAGGCTAAACCCTATACTGTCCCAATCAGCAAAATTGTATTTGAAACAAACCACAAAAAATTTTCGTCTGACTACCCAGACATTCATTTTTTTTTACCAGCCTGACTGGATAGTTACCTATTTTAGTCTTATAAGTGGGTAGTAATTTAAAAACCTGACTACAGCTTCTACCACAGTCCGTTTATTGGTTTATAAACAAGTCATGAAGCCAAAAACCTTAACTTAACTAACCTTAACTACATGCAAGTACAAGTGCAGATCAAACTGAAAAAGGATCTGTGCTTTTGCATAATTAAAACCCAAAATGCCATGAACCAAAGACATAGATTTACCTATGCATGTTGATACAGGATTACTTGTGTAGTATTTCTCATTACTCTACAAGTCCAGTTGACATGCTATAATAATATCATCTCGAACCATTGTCAAGCTTTGTGTACAGTGAGCTTAACACACTGATACGGATGATACAACTACCGTATTTGTTCTATTAGAAGCGCATTTTCAAAATAAATATCTCATAAACCCAAACTACGTACTGTATCATTAGTTTCATTCACACATAGCTCCCTTGCATGGGCTAAGAGGTCAAAAACATTAGTTTATTTCAACAAAGCGTGATTAAACTCTTAGTACACGTAGCCATAGATAAAAAACGATTGAAACTTTGTATATTCTTAACAAGTTTGAGCATTCGTTAGTCTGTGCAACTGTTTGCTCTTGTAGTTCTAGTCCAGAGTTTTAAATCTTTGGTTTTGTCCTCACCTT